GCGGTCGAAATTACTGTGAATTTGGATTTTCGGTGCAGTTACAAAAGTAAGAACAACGGAGAAAAACAGTATTACCTCGGTCGCTTGTTATGAAGTTGTTTGAAGCCACCAGCTGGTTTTGCTGAACAAGAAAAGAAGCTATACTGACGCCTCGATTGCTGTAGTGAATGGCTGCATAACCTGTATTTGTAGCTGGTTAGTTGTGATTTATATTCTTCATGTCAGAGAAACAAGCAGCAGTTATCTATCGGCGAGTGACTCGGCGAGTGGCTTCGCGATCATTAAGAAACAACACTTGTCTTTTTTCGTAGCTGGTCAAGGTACTTTAGTTTCATGTATTTTCTTTTTTTTTTTTTCAATAAACTTGCAAACAAGCTTTTGTGGCTGTTTTGTCTGTTTGTTTTTATTTTCCCCCGATGAAATTGCATTTTTTAGTATTCTAAGAAATGACTTAAAACGATTTGCTTCAGGCGCCATTCTATCCTTCGCGAAAAAAAATCTCAACTACCTTCCAATTTTAAACTGACGCGTACACCGACCATATATGGAGAGCATAGTACAATGGCTCATATACCATAATGGCTAAGCCAATCAAAACGCAAGAATTGCATTATCAAATGATTCAGTTTTTAATAAATCTAAGTATTTTAAAAAATAGAAAAATCGCTAAATTGGGCAACTGAAATCTTTTATTTTACTAACAAGCTAAACACCAACGTACAAAACAAAAACCTTGCTATCGCCATTATGAAGTCGTCACTTCAGTGGTAAAAAAACCTTAAAGGTTCATAATATTTGCACGCACAAACAAAATTTATAAAACCATTACATCTTTTTTTTGTAATATTGGATGGGCCATTTTGACGCTACATAAACGTAAAAGGCGGAAAAACACCTTAACTTATACCTGGAGTTATGAAAACCGGGTTAGCAAACATTTTGTAATTTTTCTCAACTTCCCTTGACTAATAGCTTGTTTACTGTGTTGTTTGCTTGTGTCTTTTTTTTTTTCTTTTGGCTTGGTTTGTGGTTAAGGATTTGTGTAGAAGTGGATGTAGACAGAATTACTATCTTACCCTTCCCCATTTTTTCCTTACCCACTATTCTTTGTTTAAGACAAGGGACAGTTATTTGAAGTCAGTGCGCGCCTAAAGCGGGTTTCGGTGCCGTTTCGCAGTTTGGTTTTAGATATTGGTCGCCTTGAGAAAAGTTTCCCGGAGAGCATCGAGACAAAATTATTACGATTCGCAGAGTGTACATCGTCCAATGTCGTATTATATTCTCGTTTCATTTAGCTAAACGGATCTATCACCCTGATCCGGGCTGAGACAGAAAGGTACCATATTGTTCGCTTTTCTAAGGTGACCACTAAGTCTTTGGCCTCGGGAACAGGCTCTTAGGAGTGAAATGAATTAGGTGAGAGCAAAATTGCAGGTGAACTTTGACCCGGGCCAAGACTTAGTTTTGTTTCTGGTGCGAAAACAAGGCTAAGGTGATCTGCCGACAGTGTGACTCTACATCCGGGAACTTGAAGAAGATGAGTGTAAGAGAAAAGTCCAGAAGTGTTTACCTGGCAATAGGCTGAGCTTTTCCGAGTTATTCGATGATATTTTGCTTATGTTAACCGTGAGAAGATTATGCGTGGTTGTGGATAGTCTTATCAGTGCCGCGAAAGTGTGTGATCGTGTGATTTCCGCATGGTGTTGATAGGTATGTGATCGCGTGGTTGAATTGCGGTTCGGTCAGTGTAAAACGCAGACTGTGGACTGCGGACTGCAGACTGCAGACTGCAGACCAGGGGTAAAATGCAGACTGCAGACTGAGATTAAACGCAGGATGGGGTAAAATGCAGACTGAGTATAAACTGTAGTCGTGGTCTCCTGGAAAGGTTTAATAAGGGCAAAAAAGATCCCACAAATACATGTAATCGAACACTTACTTGCTTACTTGACGACATCTCCTTTCACAAATCCATTCCTTTCTTCTCTGGAACGTCGTCGACGACCCAAAAACATAATCGCAATCTTGAACCTTTTTTAAACCTCACGCTTCGACTTAAGACGCGAAGTTTTCGATACTACGTGACCAGGGACTGTGAACTGGTACAACACCACCATGTTTACGCTTAAATGAAAGCTGCTGACCCAAAACACTGTACAGGAAGAATTATAGCGATAAAAAGGGAGTAATAATCATTCCAACAACAAAGAAAGATGTTCTGCAGGAAATTTAGATGACCTTCTATGAAAGTATTGCAAATCAAGTACGCAGACTTAAGCTGTTCGGATGTTCATTAAAACTTCTGGCGAATGTGCAATGCACTTCGACAAGGAAGCGAAGTGTGCAACTGATACCGGCTTGCTATTTCACCGATTTGGAGAAGAAGGAGCACAATTAAGTGTTTAAAAAGGTGTACAGTCTTCATTCTGCATTTTGCACCCAGCCTGCGTTTTACTCTCAGTCTGCAGTCTGCATTTTACACTCAGTCTGCATTTTACCCCTGGTCCGCAGTCTGCAGTCTGCAGTCCGCAGTCTGCCTTTTACACTGACCGATTGCGGTTTGGCCAAAATATTCTGTGCCATACATTAATATTGTTTCGTCGGCGTTTAGCTTAGTTGATTGTACCTTGGAAAAGCGACTCCCGACTAAGGAAAATTGGATCTAGGTCTAGTTTCAGCGGGCTCTAATGGCATTGAACCACAGGCCGATTTTTGCAGATAAGAAGGTGATAATTTGTGCACTACGTTTCATTCAGTTTGTTGTCTATTCTATGCGGAATCCTGTTGTTTATCGAACCGCGAAAAAAGTAGTCTTTTGCAAACTATCTAAGTTGTTATGTAAGCCTTAACCAGGCACTCTTTCGCTGCAGTTCACTCAACTTAAAAATTTGTAGACTGAAACGACACCGGTTTGAAACTTCGCGAAGTCGGTTTACTGAATAAGTGTTCTAAAATTTACGTCATTTTAAATTTGGAGTCGTTGGAATGCTTATAGGGACCATTAGCTTACTGTCCGGCGTCAGATAAAGGCTTTTAATCGGCCTTTGAATGAGTTCTATTGTTTTCATTTGTTTTATTATCACTTGCAGCAAATTATTCATGTAAGAGCATCCGGGACTCTGGTTACTCTGAAGGAGACGGGAGGTACTGGATCGACCCTGAGAACAGTGGAAACCCATTGAACGTTTACTGCGACATGACAACTGACGGAGGTGAGATCTGCTCCAAAAAAATATGAACTCGTGAGCAATTATAGCTCATTCAAACTACTTTTCCGTTTCTGATTGAACTATATTCCCCAGCTTATTCTTTATAAACAGCTACCATTATCAAATTTAAAGACATCTAACGTCAATTGTACAGATATCGTTTGAGAGAGGGACAGCAGAAGGCGCAGTAGCTCATTTTTTTTTCGCAAATCTGAGGATTCGCTTATTTGGCCAAGACCGACTAGGATATGGTTTTCAGCGTAATACAAGTTTACTAATTTACGTCTTGAACAGGGTATCTTTTCAAACTGCAAGCGAAGGCTGGTGATGCGCGGTCTACATGCCGAGGTACCAACAATATATTTTAGAAAAAAAACTCTAATTTCATGATGTTAATTTAAAAAGCACCTCTAAATTCCTTGTGTAAAACGAAGTGAATCGGAGTTGTGAAATTAGGTCTCTTGTCTTTAGCAAGGTAGCAAAATAAACAATTTTTTGTCTTAAACAGGGTTAGGGTTTGAAGGGTTCGGGGACCTCCTCCCCCATCCTCCCCAACCCCCCCCCCCCCTTACCCCTTACCTCCCCGGAGGATCTCATACGTTATGCGTAGGAGACAGCCTTTCAACTATTTTCATTGATATGCTTGCTTCGAAATGGGCATGCGGGCCCCATAACTTGCACATACCCTGGGTATCGAGCGTAATATTTAAATGCTTTGCCAACATCAGGATCACTGATCAGATCGCTTTTCTGTGCTTTGCGTTCATGCCCCGAGGGGGCATATATACTTGCGTGTTTTTGTGCCGTTCCGGCTTTCGTCGCTGAGCATGGCCGAGGCTCCTGTCGCCATCCTTGTTTATGTTCTGGAAGTCGTTCGCCCGACTGCAATACCTCCTTCGAGTTACCTTTTATAGCGTGGGTCGCTTTCAGACTAGATTTCATGGCGGGTATCATTCTCCGTTTCATTTTCTTAGCGTGTCGCTTCGACTTGTTTCACTGCGTACGTCGCTTTCAGTTGTTATGGCATGTGTCGCCTTCACGTTGGTTTTTCTCAGCGTGTGTCGTTAGCAATTTCTGGCGTGAGTCGCTTTCACTAGTTTCATGGTGTCTTTCGTATTTTGCTCTCCATTTTGTGTTTATAGCGTGTGTCGCTTATAAGTTGTTTTCATGGCGTGTGTCGCCTTCCGGTTGTGTTTACGGCGTGTGTCGCCTTCCAGTTAGCCATTTCTGGCGTGTGCCGCTTTCACTCTAGTTTCATGGTGTGTTTCATATTTTGCTCTCCATTTAGTGTTCATAGCGCGTGTCGCTTACAACTTATTTCATGGCCATGGCATGTACCACCTTCAAGTTGTTTTCATGGCGTGTGTCGCCTTAAGGTTAGCGGCATTTCTAGCTTTAGACGTTTTCAGACTAGTTTTTTTTTACTATTTTTATTTTCGTCGCGGGTGTCGCTCTTAGGTTTCCTCAGCCTTTATAGCGCGTATCCCTTTCAGGCTGGTTTGTTTATGGTATTTTCTGCTCCTAATTTAGTTTTCGTAGTGTGTGTCACTTTCAGTCTAGTATTTGGCATCTTCTGCTTTTATTTATTCAGTATGTCGCTCCTCCCTTTTGTGATCGTTTTTCATGGTGTGTTGCTTCTTTTGTCCTCATGTGCGGCGCGTCATTTTGGTCTTGTATTTCACATTTTCTATATACTTTGCGGTCCGAGTTTTTTCTGTATGCATGCTCCTTCGCATATCCTGTAGTTTGTCGTGTCTTTATTCCCGTTCGTTGTTGCTTACATTTTCTTTTCCACAACTAGTTCCAGTATTCGGAAATTTTCTTCTCTATTTCTTTGTTTGTTCGTCAATGTTATAGAAGTAAAAACATCAGTTTTTTCTAGTTTTTTTCCTCGGGCCCTTTTGTTTTCTCGTCTTTTATTCTCTTGGCATTTTAAAGCGATGTTAAAGTGTTAAGCTTTCAATTGCCAGTACGCACGGCACGTGCTTTTATCATCAATTTTCCCCGTTCGAATTTAGAATTCATGATCATGGCATCTCTGTTCTGTTTTGTTTACAATATCAGTGCGCGATGTACACACTCGGGGGCTCTTAAACGGAAGACGGCCGGTTTCATCCTGTTATTTGGAATTAGTCATCCGCGGTTCTATGGCGTAGCTGCCTAGGCTATTTTCTACGTTCCAGATTTATTCGGCGTTTGCCATTTGTTATTAGTTTTATGGGCTTATAGTTATTTATGCAGGTTCATCTCGACTATACCTCGTGTGACACAAATCGGCCCATCACTTTGTTTTGGTTGGTTTTTTCTTGTGTGTTGTTTTATTCGCTTCGAGAAATGTGTTGTTATTTCATGACTTTCGGTCTTCTGCTCCTGCTATCAGTCTGGGCGATCTGGGGCGGGTCTTCTTAATTATACCCGATACTCTGTCTGTGACGGGGTTCCTGGATCGGCCTGGTTGGTGGCTCCCCTTTTCCCCCTTATTTCTTTTTTCCAGTTTTGGTTTAAAGCTATCATATGAGGTATATGTGCGTTGCCTTCGTGGTAATCTATTTCCAATTATTTCGCTTTTAGGCACTGTTTAAACTTCGGTTAAAACGCACGAGATTCCGTCAGATCTAATCATTCCTGGTGTAACTGGAAGGGGAGCCCTTCAGCTGGGCCGGTCCGCCCCCGTCTCCCTCATCGGTCTCGGCTATTTCTTTGACTTTGGGAAGTCGATCCTTGTTCCCACGCAAATGTCGGTTTTTCAGGGGTATATCATAGATTTTACTTTCACTGCGTTTTTGATGCCCCTGGATAAGAAGGCTAAACTTGCTTCTTTTCAAGAAAAAATGCTTAGCCACAAGACTGTATGTCTAAGTCTCTGCAGAAGTCTGTGGGAAGATAAACTCCTTTACACTCTTGTACCTGCCGCCAGGTTGTCTTTTCGTGCGGCGTGTTTGGCCATATCACTCGGCACTGGCGTCTCCGAGAGCTTTTCCCGTAGGATGAGCTTCTGAGATTGGGGGGAATATGACGATTTTTCTAAGGTTGTTGGCTTAGTGGCAGTACTCGGCGCTCGGGTAGAAATTATTTTCGCTCATATCTTAGTATTCCCCGCGTGTGCCATTAGAGGTGCAACATACCAATGAAAATTCTCTTACTACTGTCTAAACATATCACCGTGGCAATGAATGACAACGGCGTGCTAAAATATACATCCCGACGAAGCCTTTCGAACTATTTTGCTTCAAGGCTCCAATAAACTTTGCGGCGTTATTATTTTTTCTTAGCGGTATAAACAGGCAGTGTATTTTTGAACTCAATTCGATTGCATGACCGAAAATTACCTTGAATGGTGAACTAAACAGGCTGATCTAAACTGTCGAAATAGCATATTGTTTCTAGATTCCCTGCATTACGTCATAAAAGTTATGTAGCACTACCTTATTTTACATCGCTTCGAGATTCATTCTGCCTCGGAACTTTAGCGCATGACTTTATTATGCTGCCGCCTCGTAGCCTCGTGTCTGCTCGTTGGCAATTATTTGAATAGCTGAAGAAACAATGTAAGTTGGGGTGCGTTTCTTTTCAAAAAAATACCAAAAACGGATTATTGATACAAATGATCTACAACGGGGGTGGATTCTTTGGATCATATCCAAAACCGGATACTTTGGATGCACAATCCGAAGCGTTTCTTTACTGCGGATCCGAAAAGAGTGAATACAGTCGGCGGTAACTCGAAAAAAATTTAATACACACAGCAGCCTGCGTAGTAGCAAGCGTCGAAAGGGGTTGTGGATAGAGAAAAAGGGAAAAAGGGAGGGGATTGGGAAGAGAGGGTGAGGGACGCCTGCTATAAGAACCCCCTTTTGTTCATTGCTGCGGACGCTGGCATCCACAAATTCCTGTTTAGCTGAGCCGTGATGAATAACTTATTGGCGTGTATCCTGGCGTGTATTAGTGAGAGACAAACATGATGAAGGCATTAAGGAAATGTGTTCTACTAGCACAAGCTCTGGAAGATCAAAATTACTCCAATCATGCAGCAACTTAAAGTTAATACCTGAAATGGAACCAACTGCAATAGCTTTGAAAAATAATCCGGAAAACCGTCACGTAAGGCCAGAATGGCTTGAGACTTTTCAACCCCCTTACGCATCAAGCAAGGTTAAGTAGAGTAAGCTACTTTTTGAAAACGATGCGATCCGAAATTGGATTTCCGATGAATTTCACAAGCGGTGTATTTCTCAACCAAAAACCCATTAAACAAACCATCCAGGAATAACAGAAGAATCTTAATAGCGAGCTGCATTTAATTAATTTTGTACATCCAGTGGAAAAAGACGGTTAAAAGTATCATAAGATGACAAAAAAACTCCGTCAGCTTCAGCTATCTACGTAAACAAGTTTCCAAATGCTGCAAAATATTTCCACATGAATTCACCTGTCAAATTTTGACCAATCGGACAAAAAATTGGGAGTAGAGCATGGCCAACGCATGACTATGGTGAGAAATGCTAAAAGCATTTGCCTTCCCTGCCTGTTAAAAACTGACTAAATTTTCGCGTCCAAAGTCAGTTCGAAATCAAAATTTTAATTGTTCAGCTCATAAACAGAATTTATTTCCTGTGCGTTGAAAAAAAATTGAGTTTGAGTCTGCGAATATTTGAAAACTATTAAATTCTCAGTGGATGAATTTAAAAAAAAAAAACGTACACTCGATGGGTCAAGAAATAAGCCCGCGATACGGTCAAGTGATGCTGGTCAGCGGATACCCTGTTTTGACAACTGTCAACTGACCACGACATGGATGTGCTATATCAGGTTGCAGGCTCCCAAACTAGCCAGAAAGTGTGAGATTCAATATTGGTTTCCTTGTTGTGCAGACGGAGGGACGGTCACGTGACTACCAAATTTTCTCGGGTAGATAGAAGCGCGCACGTCGAGCTTCGCTATTAAAACAGCCATTCTTACTGATTTTACAGAATGTAGAACTTTAATAAGATACCTCTTTATCTTCACATTTTTATTTCAGGAGGCTGGCTTCTTATTTCCAACATCACGATGGAAAGTTCAACTCCTCCTTCTCAGCTGCCAGTCAAGACTTCATACCGTGGAATAACCAGTGATCAGATGGTTCTCACAAAAACCGCCATGAATGAGCTGAGAGCACTCTTGTCTTTCATTCAACTGAGATTCCACTGCAGTAAAAACAATGGAAGAACGTTCCACGTGACCACTGCTGATAACAGCGCTGGTGAAGCTGTAGTCCAGTACTTCAGCGGTCAGACGGATATCCAGCCCGCCTCGTGTGGCTCATACTTTAGAATGGAAAATGACAACTCAAGGTTAGCAGGTGTTTGCCAAGAGTGGGGATTGGAAAGTGGCTCTTTCAAGGTAGCTAAATGGGGCGCTGGATTTGATCAAGACAGATTATACAACCACCCTGCTTTTGTTAATATATTATATAATTGGGCGCTTCATTTTCCTTTCACCGGTTATGGCCCATCAAGAAGATGGAAATGCGATGATCATCTTGTTGGGGTGACGACTGGTGATTTCTGGAAAATTTACGTTCGCTAAAATGTTTGTGCTGATGTCTGTTTCTATTGATAGTCTTCAGTGGCTGTAGAACCCGCCAATTTACTCATTTACAAAAACGTCTTTCTACAAGGAGCGAGGACCATAAATAAAAGGTTATAATCAATAGGCCATTTGGACGATGACGTCATTTACTACTACTACCAGAACGCTTCAGTGCTTTCTTGTGCAAATTAGAGCTTTTGTTGAGGGTGCCAATTGGGTTAACTGTTTAACGTATAAAGGCCTTTTTTCACTATCATAAACGTATAAATTACAAAATATTAACTGACAACGGTATAAAAACAGGTAATTGTTTAAGCGTATACAGAGCGAAGTAGACCCAAAAGTTAAGAATTGATTCAAACAAATGAAGACTTTCTGAAACAAAAAGACGATATGGTGAGACAGAATGATAGAGACGTACTTGTCAATCTTTCCTACACTCTAGTCTGTTCGCTGACGTATATGCGACTGCGTCATTCTGTGATTAAGCCTGCATTCCAACTGCGTGCGGTTATGTCTCTCAATTCAAAGGGAAACAGACAACCATTTCACAGTTAAAAAGAAGGAACGTTGTTTTGATAGAACCCTTTCTGCTCGCTTGTGTTAATCACGTTGTTCTTATGCTTAACGTGAAGACTAGGTTATTATAAGCCCACAACTGTAAAATGGTTTTTTTTCTCAGTATACCTCTTTGCTTGTGTGATCTTACAAATAGGTGTTTGTACTGCTTATAATGCGGCCTAATACTAAATGAAGTCTAATTCCGCCTGTAATCTTATGAGCGATAAAAAAAAATCGGAAGCGCGTGCAACCGCGTTAAGCGGGAATCGCATTTGTTTAATCCTCTGATAAGTATGAATTACAAATTGTTAATTGGACAAGAAGTTTTATTACCGATTCCCTCGCCTTACCTTCAGGACACATTCAAGAGTGCGCGTGCAATGGCGCATACTGCATTTTTCTGTCCAATTATACTTACGCATGACATGTACTTTCCTATTACATCGTCCTATTAATTCTGAAATCTGGGCTGCCTATAGCCAATTAGATAAGAGAATTTTGTTTTAGTTATGATAAGCGGGACAATGAATGCGTATAGAAATTCAGATGTCATTGAGTGCTTTTTTTCAAGAATTTTATTCACAGAAAGAGGATGAAGAGAAGAGTGGTGCTGTCGTCCAGGCTCAACCACGGAAGACAAATTAGGGCGTCGGTTAGGCTGGATTTGTAAGAAATAATTCACTTCAGACTGATTTGATGAAGTGTTAAAGAAAATATGACAAACCAGTGCATTGCATCCTGGAAAAGTGGGAGAGAACTTGGGAGTCTTTGTGGAGTGACTGATTTGGGAGCCCCAACCTATAAACAATTTTAACGTCTGCGGGACTCTCAATCATGTCAATTAACTGACTAAACGTTTTTTGCTGCTTACTGCCTAACTAGTGTTATTTTAGCTGTTTACAGACCAAGTAGAATATTTTTAGCTGTTTACTGACTACAGCTATGCCCCATTGACACCCTCTTTGTTATTTAAACCTCGCTGTGATTACAAAATTTAAATATGGAAGGAAAAACGAAATGGATTCTGGTGGTGAAAGTACTAGTGTAGTAAAATAACGCCATCGCGCAAATGGTCTATGGCTGACTTGGATGAAAGTACCTTGATTATCAAGCGATTTATATAACATGAACAAGTTATAGCTGTTACGAGAGATTTTTCTTATATTTATCGTTTCCAGTAAGCCTTATATCCGTTTTTGTTTATTGTATTTCAAGTATCTGCTTTAAATAAAGTCACAACATGCTCTTGCCACGGCATTCTGCCGTTTGCTTTCAATTGTGTCCATGCACTTTAAAGTCTCTAAATATTAAATTATCCTAGAAAAGCCAAATAGAGAGTTTATTTAGAAGCAAGCAAACTGAGGCTCCGGCGGGTCAGGCTTCGAATATTTCATGAGACGATCCAAACTGAACGAATAAGTTCATGATATGTTTGGTGTCTGTCTCAGTTTAGCTCGTCTGAATATCAAAGTTTGCCGGATTGACAAACAGGTTCTTCTAGTCCGCTTCTGACGGATAGGAAGCAGGGGCGTAGCTACCTGTACGCATGGTAAGAAAAATAACAAAATAATGAGACACAAAAGTGAATAATGAAAAGAAAACGATACAAAGGATAAGATAGATGAAAGTTAATTATTTTTAAAGCGCAGTTCGGCTCAATTCATTTCACAACGGACTGTTTGATTTTTCTTTTTACACCTGAATGTCGGCTTCGAGGAAAAAGACGTGATTCATTGGTGGACCGAACCTTCAATTGTATATATTTAGACAAACAGCAAGGCTGGATGGTCTAAAGCGTAAACGCGTTGTTTTCACTTCGGTCTCTCTTCGCACTAGACGAAGAAGGGCAAGATTACATCAACGTTAAAAGTCTGAGATACCACTGGATTATTCGCGTAGGCGCTACGGTTACACTAGAGGATTCATAAATATTTCGGATTCAGGATTCCGGACTTATTTTGTTGAGGGTATTCCGATCATTTCGTAAGCGTTCATAGAGTCCTCATACAAAAAAACGCATTCGGATTCCCAACAGCTTACACACATCGATAAAACTGAGTGGCTTTAGCAAGGACGACGGCGATAGCAACGAGGACAACCACGTCAAAACAACAAATTTTGCACGTCTGGCACGCTGCTTGGTAAATTTCTTTGCCTTGCATGACCACGACCTGAAATTTTTTTTACGGGACGTTGTTTGGAAGGCGTGAAAATAAACACACGATGATGATTTTTTTCATCCCCAGTTCAAACTTGGGTTCGGTCCCCAAGGATTCAACTCCAGTGAAATTCTCCTATTCATTTGCCGTTTTCACCAAGTTGGAAAAAACGCAAAAGTTTGAAAAAACGCGAATTCGTTTAAATAGTGACGTATTTGCTACCCTCGCCATCAATATTTTAAAGCACCCTGCATTCACGAACGTGACACTTTCATTTTGGTTTTACCGCAAACACTTATGATCGAAGGAGGAAAGCATCATGATTCGTTAAAAGAACTGTTTACTCTACAAAACACTGAGGAATTAAAGGTAATTGTTAGATATAAACTCAAAACGGCTACAAAGAATTTTTCAAATTACTTAGAGACGTCATAAACGCTTAGGCTTACAGTAACCTTACCTTGGTGTGGGGTGGGGTACAGGGGGGACAGGGGCATTTGGTGAGTTGTGCGTACCTCTGAAAAAATACGGAAGTGTGCAGATCTTCTAGGGGACAAACATACACATCAACGGTACGTGCCATTAAAGTGTTTGTTTTATCTGGCTTTCCGTAAAATGCTGTTTATCATTACAAATTAGTATATTGAGCTGTTTGTCGGAACAACGAGATTTGTCTGTTATAAACGGGTTTCTGCAAAGCAGGCTTCCACCGACGACTTTATAATGTGTCACGCGCTTTATAACTTTTGAACTTAGTTTGACGCTTAGCCAAGTTCGACGTTGGTAACCCAGTAGTCAAACGCAACTGAAGTAAGGTCGACCCAAATTGTAATTTGACTCGTCTCATAAATACTTCGACTTCTACAATTGACAATTAACATCCAAAATAGACAACATACCCTGCCTTTCTCTCCCTTTAACTCGGTTAGGGCAGCTTTTTTAAAGTTTTGTCTGTGCTTTCTGTGCCCGTACGGAACCTGTGTTTGTTGCCATCCAAATTTACACTTTTCTTTTCAGTCTTTGTGACCTTTTCGCGATTTCTTTCGCGTTCATTTTTAATTATTTTGACGCACTTAATGGGAACCGAAGCCCCCTTCCTTTCCCGCCCTATCCCTTCCCCTGAACCTAACCTAATAAAAAGTCAACAAAAACGCTTTGCAAAATTCACTAACGAATTCAAACAAAACCGAACCACGAGACAGTCCACATAACAAAAAAAAAACCTTTTATCCCTGTTTCACTTGAAGAACGATATTGGTTTTATGGTGGAGTATCACTCGGAATTCGGAGGATCGAGGGTTTAATTGAGAACGGTCGCGTTACGCTTACGTAACGACCAAGTTGAACCATAGATCGAGCTTCACCCATCCACCCTGAAATTTTTGCAATTTGGATTTCTTCTTTTCTTTTTTTTTGGTTTTTAAAGCTGAAATTTTTTGGCAATATGCAACCTGCTTACGCAGCGTATTTTGGCTAGCTTAGTGGCCGTCGATTAATTAAGAAACTTCCAGAAACTTCTCAGTTACATGTTTTATAGAGGATATGTCGTACGTGTTCTCGTCCACTTTTTTTTCACTGCCGCTCAGTTTTACCTTGCATTGGTGGCCGCTAGCATTTCTCATTTTGTCACCGCCGCTACAAAATTTTCATGTTGTTCTTCCAACAAAAAAAGTGTCTCCTTTGTTTTTAATCCCTCGCTCTAGGCTCTGTCGTCCTCTTTCTCGTTGAACTTCGCCGGCCTGCCGCCTACTTTCTCTTTTCTCTGTCTTTCTCCTGCTCTATATTCCAAATTTGTGGACAGGACAATTCATCTAAGCTGAATACTTTAGACAACACGGATACAGAAACAATTTCCGTTTTCCGTTTTCGTCGTTATTGACTCTTTAGCTGCCTCTGTTTTACAAGACGTGGGTGGCTAAGCGATTTCACGCCAAATAGCCGCGAGTTGCATTTGGGTTGCTATACCTGTTGATTGAGTTATTTTACATTGGTATGCCTGTGGTGAGGACAGATGGTCGCTCGGTCGGTGTACGGTCACGTGATTAGCAAATTTTCTCGGATGGGTAGATTAATTCATTTAGTTACCCATGGTCCTCAGCTGGCGCGCCTAGCGCGCAAGAGCTACGCTATAAACTACTGGATAAGGATAAGTGTGATATACAACAATTATTCACCGAAGTGGAAGTGGCTAGTGGTGATGGTTATTTACCGAGGCCGCGAAGATCAACAAACAAGATCAAGTCATTAAACTCCGCATGTAACGAGGACCCATTCATT